AAAAAAAAAAAAAAAAAAAAAAAGAAAAAACTTCAATTCTCATTATTTCATCGCGAATTATAATTGTTTATCGAAGACAATTTTGCTTATATTTTATCCATTATTATTGTTATTAATTTTTATCCAATCAGAATTTTTCCAACGAAGATAAAGAAGAAAGAAAAAAAAAATAAAAAAGAATTAATCTGTTACGCAACACCAGCGCGTATAAAAAAAAAAAAATAAACAGAGATGATTAATTCCTTCTCACCCACGCAACAACGAACAAAACGAAGTGGATCGATGGCGACGCCAGTTAATAGCGCACACGCGACCGAATCAACGAGTTTGTTATTGCCGATTCGAATTCATGAATGGAAGAAGAAACTCCTCGTCGAGGAGACGAGGCAAAGAAACGAGTTGTACGACTAGCGGGATTTTCCTCCTTTCTCCCTGCCATTATTGCCTCCTTTCGCTTTTTTCCCCTCTTTCTCTTTTCCCTCTTATCACAGCATCACAGCAACTATCACAACGCCTCTGAACGTTCCACCGGTATTTTTAGTTTTCTTATCTTATTCCGAACTGGCGTAACTGTAATATCGAAACGAGAAACGATCGATTGGTTCACGCTGGAAAGTCTAGTCGTTCTTTTAAAAAAACGACAGTTTTATCTTTTTTCTGATAAAAAAAAAAAATATATATATTTTTGATCGATATTCAAAAAAATTGTGAACCGAATTTGAAGAGCGAATGAGAGAAAACGTTTGAAAAGTAATTGAATCGATAATAAATTTTCGATCGAAAAAAATCATATTTGGATATAATTGGTAAAGTTGGTATTTTATTTATTATTTTTTTTCTTTCTTCTCTTTCAGAAATATGTGAAAAATGATGACTTAAAAAAAAGATACATCTTTCTAAAGTTTGCGACTTTTTTAGAAATGACGAATCTCGTATTGGTTCGAAGCAAAGCGTGTTCATATCTCGAGTGATATTTAAACACCGAAATTACGATCCCCGACCAACCGTTCACTTCGTTTCTATGCATACTCGCGCAAGTTTCTTTTCGTTTATATTTAAAAGATTCGGCGGTAATAAAATCCATCTCTCGAATAAAGAATAGCATCGCGAATTTAACGATGACGGCACGGATGTACACGGAACGGGAGTTAGACTGGAAGTTGAAGCTTCGTGGAAATGAGAGAGTAAAGCGAAAAAGAGAGAAGAGATTTTCTCTTCTCGCCGCTCGTCAACTTCCTCTTTCCATCGAGCCTTCCTTCTAAATCGGCAACTATCATTTTCACCGTAATAACACTCACGAGCTTTTAATTTTTTCTCTTCGATTCTCCTTTTTTTCGAAACGAATACCAATAGAATCTCAAAATCCGTCGAAACGAACAAATTGACGAATGAAATTTTTTCGAAACGAAAAAAAAAAAAAAAAGAAAATATATATCGAAAACGAATATCAAAATATCCGATTCAAAAATCTCTCTTGAAACGAATTAATATTTAATTATCATTCCTATCTAAAAATTTTTCAAAACGGACGAAAAAAAAATTAAAATCAAAATCCATAAGCGCGAAGAGGAAATTTTCAAAAAAAAAAAAAGTAAAAAAACGATTCACACGAGTGTAAAAATGAGCGAGACATTTCATGTCACGTGCGTGACATTTCGCTTTGATATCGTAAACGGAATTCGTTCCCATGAGTTGTGAACGTTTTTTCGGGGAATTCTCTGTTTCTCCATCTCTACGCAACAGATTGAATCAGCGAGTATATCATACTTGTCGAGGAAACAACAGAAAAGAAAAATCCGCACTCTTAGGAAACGAGTGGACGAAACGGTTGATTATCTTCTCGCGTTTCCATTTCCATCGTCTCCAACTGCTCGCCGAGTGTTACGAGGTCACATCCGCGTACGAGTGACCGTATTCGTCCGCGTGTAAGTTCTTCTGTGAAGCGTCTACGCGCGATACGCAATCGAAAGTCGAAACAAATTTCGAAAGAAAATACGATCGATTTTCCTCAAATATTTTATTTCTTCAACGATAGGCGAGGTAATATCAATTTCTATCGGCTTGATTGGTTTATCGATCTGGAATCGAGCTCTGTCAATAACTATCTAAGATAAAAGAACGAAGGAATGTTTTTACACACTATCGTACCGAGAAGAAAGTTGGAACGATCCGATTCACCGAGTCTCACGATCGATGTAGATAGGGGGAATGAGGATCAGGAAAAACACGCACGAATTTCGACATTCGACCAAGGTATATAGAGAAACGATGACTACGATGTAACAAGCGTATCCAATTAAATCGTGCACAATGAACCCAGGAACGGCAGCGATGACGTGTTACACACATACATACATACATATTTATATATATATATATATATGTATATATATATATATTCCCCGACGCTGTCGTTTCGTCCGCGAGGATTGCTTTCCGCCAGTCTCGTATATACCGTTAATTGTGCTCGATTCTATTTCGTCAAGTTCCACCAGGTTTTCGGATATAGTCGGGCCAGAAGAATCTCGTTCGTGCAAGACAAGTCGCGCGCTGGATATCTTCGAATGGAAGAGCGAACAATCCCAAGGATCGAAAGAAAACCTCAAGCCTTGGCCAAATGGAAAACCGGTTGGAAACGAGGTTGGAACGACGACACTTCACTCTCGAACTCTCTCTAAAGTCTACTACGGTCTCGATAAAATCCGTGATGCGAATAGTCGCGTTTGATACACCGGCTCGACAAATCGGGGATCAATTGTGTGGAAAGAGAGAGGTCTACGCTTGACACGAAGCGATCTCACCTCACCGAACGCCCGATCCGGACTGACTATAACTGTAAACCATCACTTGTCGCTGC